GCTTGGCTTCTCCTCTGTGACAGCAGTTTCTTGGTTCTTCTTGCTGCCAGCGTCCTCAGAGTTTGTCTTCGCCTTTGCAACCCTGCTTGGCTTCTTTGTGACAGCATCTTCTTCTTCTTCTTCTTTATTGTTTTCTTTGCTCTGCTTCTGACTTGTCCCCTTTTGGCTCGCAGGTTTTGCCGCTGCCTTCTTGAGCTCATTGTCATTTCTTTTACCCTTTGCTTCTGGATTTCCAATCTCTCCATCGCCATTGCCTTTTGGCTTGGCTGACTCCTGGACTTTCCCGGCCTTCTTCCCTGGCTTTGTCTTTTCCTCCTTCTCATCTTCACTACAGGGCTCGAGGTCAGTGTACTCTTCCGAGAGCGGCTCCTCTGAGTCCAAAGAGCATTCCTCATCATTTGGTGCGTTTTTTGCACTTTTTTTGATTTTTTGGAATCTTCCTCGTGCCTTTCTCGGTGACAACTTTTGATGCTTCGTTTTGATCAGTCTTCTTTGAACCCTTTGATGTTTCCTTTGCCGGCTTTGACTCCTTTTTTTCTTGTTTTGCTGATACTTCTGCCTCACGGATCTCGTCCTCAAGCTTCTTGATGCTTCCAGCATCTAAGTTCGGGTTGGTCTCCTGGGTGGATTCCCTGGTAGCCATAGGAAGCTTTGGGCTATCTTTCACCTCTGCAACCTCCATTTGCAACCTCTTTGGCTTCACTTGTTCAGTAGGTACCTGGAAACAAGAAGGTGCCAAGGACTACTTGTTGCAACTAAGAGTGACAACCCAGCGTGTAGTAAGAAGATGTTGTTGTTTTTGGATGTTCAGGCCTCCCCCACGGCGGGACTCACCGGAGTGGGTGTGGTCCCTGGTGGTGGAGACGCAAGAGCCTGGCAAACAACAAGAACCCTTGATTGACACGGTGGAAAATGAAAGAAACTTAGTTTCTGGCAGTTTTTGTCGGTGGGGTCTGAGTAGCTCCGGCATCCTCTTTGGCTAAGCCAGAAAAGTCCTGGAAGCAACTGGTCATTTCTTCATGGTTGAACGGGGGCTCATATGGCTTTGATGACAATCTATGACATCAGTGGAGCACAGGAATCTTATTATATCACCCTTTGAGAGCAACTGTCCTGATCAAAGCCATGCTGGGCAAGTAGATCGGCCAAAGACGCTGGCATGAGTTGGGAACAGCAGGCTGGTAACCCCCCTGATATGAACAACTTGGGCACGTTCTTCGCTTGATCCAAGGAAGGGAGTGTGGAAGAATCACAATTCAATTTCATTCAAATTGAGAAAAAACAAAGACTGGAACCATATGGAACTGTTCAATTTGAACGCCAAGTTCTACATGTTGACTGGCTATGCTCCCACCTGGGTTCCCTTTCCTCTTCAATTCCGCAACCTTCTCGGGTTTGATGAACTTGCTGGCACCGTGGGTGATCACGTATTCGTCGGTCCCCAGGACGACATCCATGTGGGCAGCCTTAGATATCCATAGTATGGTGGTGTGTATATAACGGCGGCTCTATATGATGGTACTTTCAGTTGCCAACCAATCGAATTAACTGAGGATGATAGTTTCAAAGGCGGGGAACAATGAAGAGCTTGTAATTTTGGCCCTCGCTGATTTGGTCAGTAGTTCCATTCCGCCTCTTGACTGGGCATATGATCAGGGTTGTGCCTGGCACCC